CCTAGCTTCTGATGACTCTCAATCAGTCTCCAGCTCCTTATAACTCTTATAAGTGAATCAATGGATCTTGAAGACATTACGTGGGGTTACCATATCATATATATTCGATATCAATTAGAACATCATTTCTATCAAATCAATATCAGTTTAGTACATTAATTCAATATATATTAATTACATTAATTATCCTATTAAATCACACTACATTACTTTTTCAACCTATTTTTAGTATACTTTTTCCTACTCCTTACACATAGAAATTTCTATACATATATTTAACTGGTAAAAATACAATATAATCATATTAGGTTGTTCAAAATGATCAAATATATAATATATTAGAAGTTATGCAATCAAAGCTTATGAAATAAGGAGACAATATATTTTTGTTAGACTTAGAAGAGAAAAATCCATATAAATAAAAATTATCGAAAATAGTAGTAAGAGCTTAGTCATCACTATGAAAAGAACAATTTTTGTAACAAGAACGACAAACAAAAATGACCAAAACCCGCTTTCTCTCTCTTTCTTCTATCCTCTTCTTCTCTTTCTCATCTTTCTCTCCACCTCCTCTCCCTTCTCTTCCTTTCCTTCGTCCGTATGTTCTTGGCCAAGCAACGAAGTGAGGGGAAGGGTGAGGATGGTAGGGTAATTAGAGAAAATATATATTAAAAAAAGTTGTTAGTGGCCCAGCGTTGTTTTGCTTTGACCTAGTGCCAAAATGTTAAATTCATAATAACTGTAGGACAGAGACTCAAGCACTACGGCGGTGATTTCTGACGTCGCTGTGCTCTCAAGCCTAGCACTTCAACGGATAGCACCAAAATGCTCTAATTCAAACAGAATTCAAAACACTTTTCAAATTTTTGGGTTGTTACATTAGAGGACACTCTAAGAATAGAAGCTAATGCCATCAAACTCTTGGAGATCAAAGGGACTCAGCATCAAATAAAATCAGTTACACATAAGGAGGATGAGTATATCAAAAAAACTGAGTGAAGCTCTGGACAATGCTAATGATGATGATGATGATGATGACGACGACGATTATGTTGATTATAGTGATGATGATGGTGATGATCATAATAAATATGATGGTGATGAGTAGTATTTAAGTCCTCTGAAGTTCTTTGCATTTATTACTAATGAAAGCAATTATTATAACTAAACTATTTTTTATCCTTCTTGCGTATTAAATCTTGTGCTCAACTTATATCTTTTGTTTGAGGTTTAAGCTGTTATAATCTGATTGTAATCATGTTTAAGATTTGAATGGTTTTGTAATCTTCTGAATTGTGTGGCTGCTGAAATTATTTTGAATTGTATATATGTTGCTAGAATTTGTTATCCGTTGCAGTAGATTTTTTGTAACGAATTTGGATCAAAAAGTTCTTCTATAGGTATTAATCGGTCCCAAAATATTTGGGATGAGAATATTAGTGGTCTGCTTTACAACTAGTCTTGCTGCCACAAATATGTTTGCGATGAGATTTTTCGCTGAATGTGATGATTTTTGTGGTAGTAAAATAACAGTATTCTGGTAGTGAGTGTTAAGGACTCCGACCTCCAATAATAAGTTTTTGAAGATTTAGGTTTCATTTAGAATTTAGTATCCTATTTTTTTTTACATGATTGAGGCTGAAGGAATTCAATGTTATAAGAGTTGTTCTCAAGAGAGTGATAACATGTTTATTTGATTGGTAGGACTATATTTGGGAGACAAAGGTCAAATGGATTGTAGTCGCGTACGACAATGGTCAGAAGGACCCTAGTCAGGTGACAGTAGTCAAAAGGATCGTACTTGACGGACGAAGAAGGTTGGAAGGATCATAGTCAGATGACAGTGGTCGGAATGACTGTACTTGACAAGCGATGGTGGTCCGAATGGCTATAGTCGGTAGGCGATAGTGGTAAGAGTAAGGCCCGACAGTGGCATCAAGATGGAGGTCCAACGGTGATGGTTGGGCAGAAATCCAGCAGCAATGGTCTGATGGTGTAGATTCGTCGATTGTGATGTTGGGTTGGAACTCCAAGATTCTTAAAGTCTAAGAGCTCTTCTCTTCTCTCTCCTCCCCTCATATGAAGAATGAATGTCTATTTATAAATTTTTTAGATTAACATACTTGAGCCTCTCTCTCTCTCTCTCTTTCCCTCCCTCCCTCAAGAAGCTCAAGCTTCGTCCTAAGAATTTCATAACACTTTCTTTTCCACTATATTTTTTCTTTCTTTATTTATGTTCACTGCATGATTTACTTCTCAATAAGTACTACCTATCAAATCCATACTGAAAGCAAAGCACAAATTAGTCGTCAAAACTGGCAAAACAGAGAAACGAATTTAGGAATCAATCTGCTTCAGAAACAGTAGAGCGATTCCGCTAAAAAGATTTAACAGAAGAAAAAACGTGAAATAATACCTCCATTCTTTATAAACACAGCGATTCTGATAACATGAAGATTTAACATAAAGAAAAAAAAAACGTGAAATAACTCTTCCCTGCTTTAGAAACAGCTTTAGCGATTCCGATGAGATAAAAGTTTTAACATAAAAGAATAAATGTGAAATAATACCCTCCCTGCTTTAGTAATAGTTAATTGATTCCGATAAACAAAACATTTAACATAAAAAAATCGTGATATAATTCCTCCCTGCTTTAGAAACAGCTTAGCAATCCGATAAGTTCAACATTAAAAGAAAAAAAACAAAGAAACTGGAAAAAATACCTCCTTTCCGACGGGAATCAGATTCCAAAGAAGACGAGCAATATAAAAATTCGAACTTTCTGAAACAATCGCGGGGGTATTTAGTTTGGTTTCAAGGGGATTTAGGCTTTGTTTGATGGCTTTCTTATTTCTTCTTAAAATAATTTTTAGTACAAAAATTAAGAAAGTCAACCCAAATGAAGCCCTAATTAATAATGTTTGAGATATTTAAATTAATCAAGATAAGTTTTATATCGAGCCACAGTACACATCCCATACAGAATAATTAATCTCAAGCCTTTTGATTAGTAATTAAAATTCTCAACCAATAGATCAAGATGAATCGTAAAGAATAATCCCAAGCCTCTTAATTCGTAATCAAAACTCATACAGAACAAGTAATTGTAAGCTTTTTGATTGGTAATTAAAACTCTAAAATAAATCAAGATGAGTTGAGCTGAATGATTTTAATTAATTTTTAAATACTATTTTAAATATGAGAATGAGAATATTATTAATAATATATGAAAATAATCAAAATATGCATTTCAATTTAAATAAAATGATAAGAATAATATTTTAGAGTGATTTAAGGACTATATAAGATAAAGTAAAAATTTAAATATTGGTGTGTAAATTAAATCCCAATAATTTTATTAAAAATGAAAACAGGGGCATTCCGAGAATTGAACTCGGGACCTCTCGCACCCTAAGCGAGAATCATACCACTAGACCAAATGCCCGAATGTGACAGAATTTAAATAATAATTTACTTATTATAAAATACTTTTATTATTACTAGCCAGCTTAAAACGGGAAGGTATTGATGAGTCATAGCCTCATAGGCAAACCGATTGATGAGAATATCCTAATTAATCAGAATAAAAACAATTTCTTCATATTTATTTTACAATAAATAAAATATAAATACTAATGATTTCAAATATTATAGTATAAAAATAATTTTAAAATTTTTAGAACCTATTTATATCTCAATTTTGATCAGAATATTCTAATCCAAAATTTTCTCTAATTTAAAAAGTTATTTTTTCTATAATTTATATCTGCTAGTTGATAAAAATTATTAAAATTAAAAAATTAAAATATATTTGCATAAAATTATATTTCAGCACTTATCAGACATCACTCAACTTTCCTGTTAAAGAAAAAATAAAAATTAAAAAATATGTTCTTTAAAGGACTTCTCAACAAAAAAAGTTTAAAATTGACCGTTATTGTATCAGTAATTAAACTTTTTTATTAAAAATTTCAAATTTATCATAAAAATAAAGCATTTAATATGTAAATATATTTTGTTAACTACTACATATACAGTAAGACCAAAATCAAATTCTTTTAATCAACAAATCAATATACTCTATAGTTTTCAGTTATTATAATATATAATAAAATAATGGAGTATTTACAAACATACTATATTATATCATACTATTTACATATTTTAAAACTTTAAAATTTCATATCTACCACTCATAAATAACTTTAATATCAAATATCTCATTCATATATTTCATTCCTACCAATAAACTTTAATTTTTCATCTTTTGCACTCATATTTGATCTATAGGTGATAGCTGTAAAATATTAAAATTTTCGATGTTAGATACATAAATTGCATGATATAAAGTGGTAATTATATAAATTCCCCTAAATTAATTTGAGCTGCCTCATTGCAATTATGAAAAGAATCAAAAAGTTTTTTTTTTTTGTTTTTTTTAAATTAACTGGTGAATTTAATAACGTGATTTTAGGATTTAAATTATAAGCATCTATCAAAAGCAGAAAGCATGTTGGGATAGATCAGGATAAAATCCACGCCATTAACATGATATTTATTTTTTACTTAAAAAACAACCAAAATACCATATCTATCTTCTTTAAAAAAAAAATTAAAAAAAAAAAATTGCATTGTTTTATTTGTTCTAAATTTAGAAACCATGCAGCGATTCTCAATAGGAAATTATTTGGGGAAGGTATATACAATTAATAATAAGAATAATAATAAATGTTATAATAAAAAGGAGAAATAAAGAGCCGAACATTATTGGTTCTGGAATTTGAATCAGATAATGATTCCAAACTGTTGTGATTGCTCCCAGAAACAAACTCCCCAGAAAATATTATCGATTGATTCGGTTGACTCGGTTGTTGACTGACTGATCTCCGCTATAAATACCTCACAAGTCCAACAAAATCATCAAATTTCTCGTCTGTTTCTTCTTTTTCTTATTCTTCTGTTTCTTCTTCTTCTTCTTCTTCAGATTTCTCGCTCGTTTCTTCTTCATCATCTTCTTCTTCTGCAAATCCAGCGTATTCATAGCGATGAATAGGATTTTCATCAGCAACTCTTTGCTTCCCAAAAGGTCAGTAGATATCTTCTTCTAATGTATCTTTACTTTTGTATTTTTCTTCTTCTTTTGTAACAGAAGAATATAATTATTCCATGATCATTTAATTTAAAATATGAAATTTTTTTATTCATATTCTCTTTAGGGTTTAGCAAAAACAATTTATGAATCATTTTTCATTAGTTTTCTGTAAGATTTTATCTTTTAAAAGAAGAAATCCATATCTAATGGCATGCAGGAACATATTTTGAAAACCCAATTTATCAATGTATATCTTCGATCAAAATAGTTAAATTTGCTATGCATATCATGAACAATCAAATATATTATTTTCTCATCCATTTTAAATGATGAAATTTTCAATGGGTTGTATTTTCAAACATTGAGATGGAAAAAGAAGAACAAAAAGCATAAAATAAGAATTTTTTTTTTTGACATTTAAGTCAGTTAAGTAAATTCATACACACATCATATACACAAGACTCAAATCTAATATCCCTTGATTTGTAGCTAAAGTTTTCAACCAACAGACCAAAATGAGTTGCATCATAAAAGAAGATTTGTAAAGACATTTTAGAATTTTATAAATGTTCACCTTTTATGAGATCGACCCTCACAAAACATGCATTATTAGCTATCTTTGTAGCTATAGCTCAACATCATATGAATGATAGAATTGTCTTTAAAATGTATGAGATTATATATAACATTAACGGTAATGATGATGTTTAAAAAGATAAATGTTATAGATGTTGTTGTTGTTGTTGTAGCATTCGAGCTTATAATGTTGTTGCGGCGGAAAGGTCATGTACGACAGAGGCGACATCAACCCCGATAAAATTAGCGGCGGAGGCAATTCTGGGCTCCGCCGCAGAAGAGAAAGAGCACACAAATTACTGGATGAGAGATCCAAAGACAGGAAATTGGATGCCGGAGAACAGAATCAGCAAAGTGGAAGTTGATCCAGCAATGCTCCGGGCTAAGTTCCTCCCCTCCAAGAAATAGAAATATATGCAGATTTAGCGATCTAAGTGACTTCTTAATGTTCAATATTCTCTGAGTATAAATATGTACTCTTTCTTAGCTTCAAGTGGATGTATTTTGGATATAACGATAATTTGACTTTAAATAAAAGGAATAAAATATTTATTAAATAACAAAGAATCTGTTTGTTCTGATTCCTTAAAGATGGAAAGCATATTTATTTGTATGCTTGTCAGGCCAGTGCTGAATGCCAATCAATATTAAGCATATTTTATATTAATATTTTTTAAATGAAACGGAACGCGAGCTAATGAGTTAAGTTAGGGCTAGCTCAAGCTTCACTCACGAGCCGTTTATTGAGCTGAACCCGAGCTAGCTCACAAGTTGGCTTGGCTCACTTACACTCTAATCAAGGATCAAATGAACCTCCATAATACCTATCGACATGAAACTTAATTTAAAAGGAAAACAACAGTTATATAATTAAATATTTTAATGTATATATTTAATATCCTATCCAAAATAATAAATCAATAAATTCTTATGTTTGTTTGTCATAATCAATTTGTTAAAAATATAATGAAAATAATATATATGTAAAAATTTCTAAATCTTTCTTGTTGATAATTGTCCAAATATTTTGGTAACTCTTGATAAATAATAAGGTAAAGGATGAGATCATTTGAAGAGAAGTTTATTTTGGCTAGTTTCATTACTTTAGTTGAGGAGTTATAGATGAGTTGATCTTCTCTTCTAGCGAAAACATTTTTTTGATAAGTTTGATTTAGGTGACTTTGATGGAACATCTCTTTGGTGACTTTTGGCTATTTGGTTTAAGTGCTTGGTGACTTGTTGCACATAGTTCATAATTGTGATAAGACTTAATTAAGTCGATGTATGTAACTTTAGGTATAAATTTGTTATGAAATTCTATTATCCCTTTGAAGAACAAGAGAATAAAAGCTAAAAAAAAAGCTTGGACTTGATGACCAGGCACATTGATTATGAGTTTTTTAGTTATATATATAGTAGCACTTTCCTGTAAACATGTAAACATCCCTCAATAATTGATGAATATTTGTCTTGTGATTGATTTCAAAGCTATACTTTCACTCTTTCTTAATGACATATTAACAATCGATATGATCAGGTATGAATCTCGATATATATTTCAATTAAGAATTTCTTGAATTAAATTAGGAGCACCCAAACTCATTTTTTAGCATGCTTTTTATATGTCAAATTAAACATTTTGACATCAAAAATGATGTGATCTAACTTCAAATGAGCCCAAATCAAGCACATGAAACGTAAGAGAAAACTTCAAGGCATTAATTTGAGAATCAAACGATCTCCAATTATTTCATGTTTAAATCAAATCGAGAATCTCAATGAGATGAATCTAACAAGCCTAAAATCATTTAATTTCAACATCATTAAGGCACTTATATGCTGAAAGAAAAATATGTGATTAAAGAAATCAATATGGTCTATTTGATAGAGTGTTTTAGTTTTTAGCTATATTTACAATCCATAATCCTAAAAATATTTATACATAACCCCAAAGAGATATGAAGGGCAGCTTGGATCTTGGCTTGAGAATCAAGTGAGCTCAAAGGCATTAAGAATCTCAGAGCTCCACCACAAGACCATTATTTGATTGTTGTTGTTGTACCACAGCCCGACTGCTATTATTGGATCATCATTTGATCATCATTATTGGACCACCACCCAATCGTCACCAATAGGCCATAGGACGACAACTGTTATTAGATCATCATCCTCAGACCACCATAGCTTAACTACAATCCTTTAACCACTATAGCATGGTTGTGAATTTTCGACCATCGACGCTAGACGACAGTGCTACAATCACCATCATTTGACTATCATCTTTTGACCACCATCACCAAACCACAATCTTTTGATCATCATCACCCGACTATTGTCCTTCGACAACCACTATCATACAACTATTGTCACTCGACTACTATTGGCCGATTTTAATCCTCTGACCTCTATCTCCCAAATCTAATCCTTGGACCACTAAATCAAGCCTATGAGCTCCTTGAGTCTCCAACAAAGGTCCCAAACCCATTCAAATAGTGAGTGGGGGCAAATTATAGATAGTTTTTTTAGAGTGATGTGACTATATAACCAAAAATTGAAACTCACCATCTTACATGCTTAAATTGATTCTCTTAATTATTAATCATTTTTTCGCTTTTAGGTGCTGCAATAATATAAAAAATTATATAATTTTGACCTCATTAGAATCATCTTGTCAACATGCTTGATTTGATTATAAGCATGCAATATTTATAAATTGTTTTGTCATCTAATTAATATCCCAAAATTTCAATTATACTTGTATTGCTTGATTTCGGCTCATTTGGGCTTGAATCAGATCACTATAGTGAGTTTGTCTCACTGAGGCATTCGATTTAATTATAAATTTGTTAAAATCGGAGATTAGATGCTTCTGAATTTAATTTTTGGACTTTCTACTTTAAATGTGCATTGAGATTCTTACCTCATCAAGTTAATTTTTTATGGCGTGTCAAAGATGATGAAAGAGTAAATAGTGAAGTTACAAAAATAAAGCTTATATTTTTAAGTTATAAATATTAGAGCTGAAGCGATAGAAATGTGTTAAGAATTTATGCATTTCTTAATATCAAAGCACCATATATATTATTGATTATCATATTTATTTCATTTGATCAAAGTTGCGCTGCGCTTCGAGAAAACCCTAGGGTTTTCTCTTGGGTGGCGTTTTCCCGCCGTCGGCGGGGGATTTTCCGCTCTGCCTCTTCAGGAAAGTTGTTCTCTACTCTTTTCTCTTGTTTCTCTATGGTTTTTCTTTCCTTTTCTCCGGCATTTTTGGTATGCCTTTGTCTATTTTGAGAGATCCTGGCTTTTTTTGGGGGATTTCTCACCCTAAGTCTTTTCTTCAAGCTCTTGCTGGTTCTTCTTCTTCTTTTCCTGATCTGAAGCACTCTACCTTTCGTGGTCTTCCTGCTTTGTGGGTTTCTGATGAAGAAATTAGGGCTTTAGCGGAACCATTTAGGTTTTCTTTGGTTGGCTTCTTTCCGGGCAAGCGCCCTCCTCTCGATGCGATACGTAAATTTTTTTAACCTAAAGTTGAATGACGAGGTTTCAGTTACTGTTCTGGATTCTACCCATATTTTGATAAAATTGGAGAAGGATTTAGATTACTGTAGGATTTTTTGCCACCGTTCTTATTTGGTTTTCAATTGTTATATGAAACTTACGAAATGGTCGCCGACTTTGGATATCGGCGTTGAGTCGCCTATCATCCCGATATGGATCTCTTTTCCTCACCTCCGTCCGCATTTTTTTGCTCCGAGGATCCTTTTTGGTCTGGCTGAGTTATTTGGCAAACCGCTGAAAATTGACGAAGCGACGTCGGTTGGCTCTCGTCCTTCGAATGCCCGTGTTTTAGTTGAAATTGATATTACTAAAAATTATCCTAAGCAAGTTTGGTTAGGATCTGATTCATTAGGGTATGTTCAAGAGGTGGTCTTTGACGATTTTCCTCATTTTTGTGGTATTTGTAAAAAATTAGGACACATTTCTGGTAAGTGTATTTCGGGTCCTGTTCCTGTTCCTCCTTCTGTTGCGGATGTTCCTGTGGAAATTATTGCTCCTTTAGGTGGTGAGAATGGCATTAAGGGTGTAAATGAAGTTGTGGTAAATGTTCCTGAATATGTGGGGATGAATTTGCCATCTGTTGATAATGTTGGTTTGTCGCAGGAGTATTTGGTCATTTCGTTAGATGTAAATAATTGTAACGATGTGCCACTGGTTGCAGATAAATCCCTTTTATCTGCAAATGCCATTCCTTTCGTTCCCGTGTTGCTGGATGGGGGCGTTAGGCAGGGTGTGATTTTGGAGTCTTCGGGTATTGCTTTGGTGCCGGAAGTTGATAATGTAAATGTGAATGTTGAGACTTCTGATAGTTTACCTCTTCATGATATGAATATTATTGGGGATGATAAGGTGATAGATAATGCGGAAGGTGGTGCTGGGGATGAAATGCTTGCTGGAGTGGAACCGAGTGGGATTGAGGATGCGTGCCCGTCGCTGAATGTAGAGGAAGGGATTCAGACTGTTAACCATGTTGTTGAGATTCCTGTAAAAGAGGTTGATACACTTCGGATGGCTGATTGGGTGGGGAAGTCTTCGGGCAAAGAAATTAGGAATCAGAACAGTTGGTTGATTGGTTCGTCGGAAGAGGAAGTTGATTCTGAATGTTCTGAGTCGGATAATGACTTTTCCCTTGTTCGTTCCTCTGTTGCCTCTCGGGGAAAGTTTTGGGGGCGTGGTCGTCGTAATAGATGATTTGGAATGCTTTTGTATTGTTCGTATTGCTGTTTATCTTTTGGAAAGCTAGGCTTTATTGCGATTTGATGCTACGCGTGGATGAGGACGATGATGTGGTCGGGGCTCACGTCCCGGTCGTTAAGCTGGTGGAAACCATTTATTTCTGGATGGTCCGTGCGGGACGGCTTGGACGTTTGAAGCCTGGACTGTTGACTGAGCCCACTCTTTGCTAGTAATTCGCATTGTTTTTTGGTCGCTTTTATTTTGCTAGGTATGTGTTGTATTTTGTAATTTCTTGTTGGCATTTTAATGAATTTTATTTAAAAAAAAAAAAAAAACAGCACCATATATATCAGTGCATGCTTACAACTTGAGGGACCTTGATGGTATTGAGTTTTGATACTTTGGTTCTTCTGTCCTTCATAGCTTATGTATGGGACAAGAGGACTAAGAAATTGTTATACATTTTTATTTTGGTTAGACTAATCATGCTTATTATGAAAATCTTTAATATGAAAATCTTTAATTATATTCAAGTAGTTCAAGCTTATCAATTTGATATAAACTCTTACAACTTGGAACTCACAAAATTTGAAGTTTCTTATTTTCCGGCGGCGTATTTTCGTCAAAATTAATTCCCTTCGAAAAAAGCCGCCAAAGAATTTTTCCTGCAGGTTTTACCGGTGGAAATTTTTCCGTCGATAATAGATGATTTTCCTGTACAAGTTATCTATGTTAATTCTAATTCAACCCTTCATATTAAGTTAATGAACTTAATGAAATGACTTATGATGTTAGGCATTCATTAAGATCATTCACCTGAAGAACTAGTTTACTTGCCCATAATACTCCTTAATTGAGTAAAAGCTCTTACTAGAAGAGTTTGTCAATAGTACTCGCTTGCAAATCAAAACTTTCCCATCGCTCCACTGCTTAGAGCTAAAAATTGCTTTGATTTTATGCAATTCATTCATATAGATTGAACTTTCCAAAGTTTTCAAGATCTCAAGAGGAGATAAAATTGAGAATCATTTTGAGGCCTTGGGTTATTCTAAAAAACATGAACATTGTTCTTAAAATTTGTAACATATATTTATTTTTTTCCGATAGTATAAATTTGTTGTCAAATTCTCTCATATTAATTATTATGAGTCTTACATAACTCTAATTGATGAGTCATCAAGGAAAGACAATTGTTATTTGTGCCATATTGATATCATTCTCCATCGACCTTAATTTGGCTACCTAAAGCATTTTGTGCTGGGTGTGGTGGACATGCAGGTTGGGGCGGACCGGCGATGGCAGGCACACGTAAGAGTTACGTGAGATCGTGCGGTCACTACAGGAAAGTTTAAAATTTGCGGTAAATTTGTGGCGGACAATGCGATGGAAAAAAGTTTCTCAGAAATTGTGGTGGATTTGCGACGAAAATTTTCATTGTTTATGTTGTGATGGATTTGCGACGGATTTGACACGCAAATTTGAGGTCGCAAATTTAAGATGAATTTTCTGCCGCAAATTCGAAGAAAAAAAAAACTATCTAAATTGGCTAGCAGTTAATTCTTTCATTAGCTTGACGTTCTATTTTGATTGTTCCCACGAGCTCCTTTGACGAATTTCGCTTGGGATGTTCCTTTCTCTCGCATCTGAAGCCACACTTCTGTGTTGTTGGCAGCCGTCATGTCTCCTCTCACGGCCAATTGCTCGCTTCCTTTAACAACGTTCGCCACCATCGACGACGTTCCTTCGTGTCATATCCGAAGAAGTTTGTTCTTCACCGTTCGACTCCTTCAATGTTCCTTCTCTTAGTGACCAGCTTTTCCAGCTTTGACGACGATCGACTTGCTCGGCTCCTTCCACGTCATTCTTCCTCTTGGCCGATCGGAGCTTGCTCGGTCAGAAGGTATCCAAATTTTTTACTTAAATTTATATTATTATTATTCATTGTGATGGTGTAATTGATAGAGATATTATTAGTAGAATTCAAGTTGAATGGTTGAAGTGGAGGAATACATTGAGCTTGTTGTGTGATATCGAAGTCTCCCTCAAACTTAAGGAAAAATTCTATAAGATGATGGTGAGACCTACAATGCTTTATGGTGTAGAATGTTGGTCATTAAAAGAGAAGCATAATATTATCTTAAGTGTTGTTGAGATAAGGATGCTCTGGTGGATAAGTGGTTTCACTCTTAGAGACATGATACAAAATTTGCATATACGTGAAAAGTTTGGAGTAGCTCCAGTGGAAAATAAGATTTGAGAGAGTTGCCTTACATGGTTTGGTCACATAAAACGGTGATCTTTCGATGACCAAGTTAAGAAATTATATGTATTAGATTATGCATATGTTAAGAAAAATAAAGGTAGACCTAAAAAGACTTGGTTAGAAAATATTCGAAATGATAATTTTTCTTTATTAGAATTAAATAAGAATTTGATTCTTAATAGAACACAATGGAGAAAAATGATTTATGTAGCCAAACTCACACAATACGTGGGATAAAGGCTTGATGTTGTTATTGTTATTGTAATATTTTTCATATGTAAATTTGTGCATTTCTTGATTAATATTTTTACTGTCTATTTTCAATATTATTGTTTTAAAAGTGAGAGAAAGAGAATATAGAAAAAAAAATCTAAAATTTCACTAGTTTACTAGAAAATACAAGACCTAAGCAAATCATGGAAAGGATTCATTCATGGCCTTGTATCATACTACTCCAACATCTTGCTTTTTTCACCTTTTTAACATTGAAACAAATTTTCAAGTGTATTCTCATAGCTTTGGTCTTCATCTTCATCTCCATCATCTCCCATTTTGTAAAAGACTAATTTTTTCCAATGCTAATCATGATGAGACCTTTGTCATCTTGGCAACCCCTTTCTCCTTCACCTCTATGTGGTCCTGGAGTTAGGCCTAAAGAAACACATCTGACTCCTACAATTATTCTTTTTGTGAATCTAAATTACTAAATTTGTTCATAAAATCTTATCTGTCGTAATATTATACTGTAATATTGTCTTACTTCCAGTATTCAGTACCTTCTAGTTTCATTAAAATTTCATTTGGGACGATTTTTTTACAATTTCTTAAAGCAGCTTTTTAGTTTCTACTAAAAGATGCTTTAAGAATCAGTAAAGAAAGCTTCCCAAATAAAACCTAATCACTTCACAAAAATTTGAAAAACTAAATCTGTTGCTTTTAGTTTCAAAGTTCAAACTCTTATCAGCTATGGTAGAGGCGCCCCTCATCACAGCAGAAGATTCTGATTTTCTTAAATTCAAAGCATACAAAGAATGAATTCATATGTAAAACAACTATAACATTTTTAATAGGAAAAGACTTATTCTGCTGTGCATAAATAAATGCTCATGAAACCTCTTATCTTATGGATATAAATAAATAGTCATCATATTCATATAAACAATATCATACATATCAGCATCGCCCTTTCTTTAAACTGGAAAAAAAAAAAAAAAGATCAACTTCAAATCATCCACTTAGTGTTAATCTCCTTATTAGCACCATAACTATACGATCTTCAGTTGATAATTTCATTGAGTTCCAGCCTAGACCTCTCCACACTGCATCTTCTAGCTTGCCTGCAAAAAATGAAGCCAAGATAACAAGAAGAGATGAGACACACACGAAAAATTATTCTGTGCGGACATCAAACGTCATTTAGAGATCAATCAGAATGCACCACGTCACCCGTTTACTATACCGGGTCACGGTACCGCCGCTGGATACGGCTGCATCCGAACATAGTGCTGCATCCGGCGTCCGCACATAATAATTTTTCCACACACAGTATGATTTTTCTAATTTCTCTGTATATTTTACCTCTTGATTTCATGCGAGTTTTGCCAAGTAAATCTTGGTCCTTCATCATACCCCTCACAGACTAATTCTCCATTCTCATCTCTGTAACAGATTACACCACTCTCCTTGTCTTCAAATACCTGCTCGTTGGAAAACTTGATTGATCATATCATACTACAGATCTGAAACCAAAATATTTTGCTTTAGTTTAAGAAGAAGCTCTCTCACCTTGTTCAGTTTAGCGAATTTCTTCAAAGAACTTTTTGCAGATTCAAGCTGTAGATGGCCATTTCTAAGCGTTGGAGCTCTGGTTTTTGGCTTGGCTCTGTTGGCCTTCTCTGGAATGCTTCTAGTGAGAAATGAAATTCTGATCGCCATGAAATAATTCTAAGGTCTTTTTTTTTGTTAATTTGTTCAGAGAGAGAGAGAGATAGATATGGTTGAAACAGGGGATGGTATAAATTAGTAAGGAGAAGGTACAGAAATCCTTTCTGAAAATAATTTATTATAATAATTATTATAAAATATCTCTTATAATTTCTTCTTATGTTAAATTTGATATTGATATGCTTTCATCATTAATATAAGTTTATATGAAAATGAATTTAATATGGAATAAATTTTTATAGGCAATTATGTAAGGATTTCTTGTTGCTATTTTTTAATAGGTTTATAGCGTCTTTTTCTTTATTTATGTCAAGATTTGGCGGATTAGGCTTATATTTTAGTGGTCTTTGTTTCGTGGAAGGCACTATGACTAGATGTGTGGGCTCTGCCTAGGTATTGAATTGATTAACAAAATTTAATAAAAATTCTTATCTTATTATATATCATGATAATTTTGAAAATTTGTATAATTCAATTATAATTTAACCAATTTAAAATAAAAAAATAATTCATTTTTTTATTAATAATTTATTATTTTCATGATCATTTTTTTTTATTATTATATATTAATACATAATATTATGTTCATGATTACTTCTTCGTACACTTTAATGATGATTAGGGATTTATAAAATTTAAATTATTTTTAGTTGTTAATCAAAATATATTTCAATGAATCAACTTTTTATCATTTTTATCAAGGGCAAGTCTAGGAAGAGCTCTGAGTATGCAATTATTGGAACTTTTATTTGGTCCGGTGAACGGACGTAGAGCTACGTTCAGCCGGCACTGAGATCGCGCCACGTAGTAGGAACAAAACCATGGACCTGACCCAGCGAATAGTGGGTATGTCGCACGTGCGTTTTTTAAATCCATGACAACCCGATATTGCTAGGTATTGCTCGATGCTAGGTATTTGTCGATTTTGCTCAGCAATAATGAGAAAGACCATTATGTGAAGATAAATACCGGACAATACCGAGCAATACCGAGTAATACAGAGTTTTTCTAGAAATTAAATTAGAAAATAATAAGAAAATTATGAAAATTATCCTAAATGAAATCATATTCCCTCCTTGATTTTTAGATATATAATACTTTGCCATACACTATATGAAAATTGTATATGTCAAAATATTACTTTGGCAATGAGTCTTAAGATTCTCAAATATATTTTAAAATGCTTGTAACATTAATTATGCAGTCATTTTAAAAATAAAATTAAAAATTTTTAGACTCATTTTTTTTTTTCAAAATTTTAGTCTTTATATACTGATTTATTTTTTTCCTATGCCGCATAGAAATTTATTCGATATATAATACTTTTTATTTAAAAAATATGGAAGTTTAGGTGCTGTGTTATCGTCATAGGTAACGGAAGCCTACGAACATTATTTATAACAAGATAATGTTCCCAAAGATTAGTTATTACTTATTTCCAATGGATAGTGATATTTGCTTATGTAGCAAACTTTTGCATGCGACTAGTATAATAAGTCGTGATATATATGGATTTTTTTTTTTTTTTGGTGAAATGAGGGCTTAGCCTATTCTATTAAAAAAACCAAGAGGATTACAATGAAATAAATTAAAAAAGCATTGCCTGAACAAAAAGAAGGCAAGCAGCAGAAACAAAAATTATAACCAACTATAAACCCCAAAAAGAAGAACCCAAAAATCAGACAGAAAACCTGCCTGGCCTGGACTCAGAATTAAATTATCCAATTATAAAGGCGATCAGTCTCCTTTGGTTGCCCGTAGACCATCCAAAAGGAGTGGCAGGATTCATCATCGTCCACGACCCAAAAAAAGCCTGCCCAAAAAAACTCGAATCCGACATAACAGCAGCACCAAAAGAATTTGGGCAGCAACTGAGGATGCCACCAGCAAATCCCATTGGAAATTATGGCCTGCCAAATAATTCCATCATCGTCCAGCTCCAACCCAACAGCAAAAAGAGTGGAATGCCAACAATCGCCCAGCACACAGCATAAAAAATTTAATTTCTCGGCCTCACTGTGGGAATTTATTTCTTGTTGGCAATCACGTGAGCTCTCTCTTTTGTATTATGTTGCAATAATTTAATTAGGTAATAAAAATTTTTAATAAATTTTAGAATGCAAATAAATTAATTAAATAAAATTAACTTTATAATAGTGTATTATTTATGTTTTTCTTTAACTAAATGTAAACAATTATATCAAATAAATTTAAAATATAATTAATTTAGGATAAATTAGAATATTAAATTAAACTAATTTAAATTTAATCACTATAATTATAGTTCAAATATTAAGACTCAATTTAATTCATTCAAACAAAATAATGTGAACTATAAAAGTAATTTATTTGAACTCAATTCATTGACATAATCATATGAGAAAAATATTAATTTTTGAATAAATAATAAGATAGAGAATGATATATCTATGTTTTTTTTTATAGGATTAACTATAATTTTGAATGTTTTTTTTAATAATTTTTTATTAAAATTTTATCTCAAGATCTATGATTACATTAAAGAAAAATATTATTTGAAGAGTTATTTAATGTCTATTATTAATTTATGCCCCTATTAAAAAAAATCCTAGCGCCACCTTTGATTTTAGTATATTTTCTCTTTGTTTGTTCGAAGAAAATGATGCAAGGGTACTAAAGAGAGACAAGAAAAGAGCTAGCAAGAGAGAAGATATCGCTGTACTATTCCTCTTAAATTTTCATAGTGATTTTTTTAGTATGGTGTGGCTCCATGACTTTTTCTCAATTTCAAGTTTTTCAATGTTAAATCCCAGTATACTTTATTTCCACTGACAAATGCTCTTTCTTGTCTTATTTCGTTGTGTGATTTACTTCCCCAACAGTAACGACTGGAGGAGGCCGGCCAGTAGGTTTTTGGCAATCATAATAAGCTAGAGAAACAAAATGAAGCAGTATATCGCTTCTTTTTTCTTTTTTTTTTTGAGACAGTTAGGTCAATTAAGACAGACTCACACACACTTCGCATACACAAGACTCAAATTCAAGACCTCTTAGTTGATAGCCTTATATAATGCTTCATTTTAGCTAATAAAGTTGTGTCACGACACTTGTCGTCATTCTGAGTATTCCTCCATGAAAATCATGGGCTTGCTGCTTGCAGTAATATTTCTTCAAAATGTTTTCCTTTAATTCTGAAGTGATTGCGTGCACAACTCTGTCTTAAAATATAGAATACTAGAGCTGCACTAATGACTCAATAATAACTTATTAAGTACCTAATAAATCCAATTCAACTCGAATATCTTTTACACAATCAATTTCAGATCTCTATTTATCCAACCCTTTAAATTGAACATACCCATAGGATCCGAACTTTTATTTGGTCCGGTCACCTGATGTAGCTCTACGTTCGGACGCCAGTAAGATAGTGCCATGGGTTCTCACTATTTACCGCGCGGCCCGATAACCCCGACCCGGAACGGAGACGGGATTGCTATGTTCGCGTGTTACTAGGTATTGCTCGGTATTTGCTCGGTATTTGCTCGGTATTGGTCGATTTTGCTCGGCAATAACGAGAAATACCATTCTGTGAAGACCAATACCGAGCAATACAGAGTTTTCTCGGTATTGCTCTGTATTGCTCGGTATTTCTCGGTATTGCTCGATATTGGTCTTCACATAGCGATATTTTTCATTATTATCATGGAATACCTAGCAATACTGAGCAATACCTAGCAATATCGAGCAATACCTAGTAATACCGAGCAATACCTAGAGCAATACGCGAACATAGCAACCCCGGGTCAAGTCGTCGGGCAGCGCAGTATTGAGTAAAACCACGTAGGGACATGTTATTGGCGTCCGAATGTAGAGCTACGTCAGGTCACCTGACCTAATAATTGTTCCCAGCAAGTGGTTGTCGGGGCAGGTGGCATTATAACTCACAAATAGAAATATGTTAATCAAAATCTTTCTATTTTTAACAACAATTGTCAATTGCTATGAGCTTTTTAATTTTGAAGTAAATATTATTAAAATTCGAAAAGAAATTAATATAATATTGATATTTCCATGGCATTAAATATATTAGTTGGAGGGTAGAAAGAGAAAGTTTTAGAGAGAGGGAGGGAGTGGCAGTTGGAGAAAGAATCGAAAAAAGAAAGAATATTAAAAAAAGGAGAAAGATTTTATGCAGAAAATTGCATATGATCATATTTTTGTATACTCGCCTTTATTCTATTCCTTTGTTACGTGCATGAGTTTTATGAATTGTTTTTGTCATACAACGAAGAACTAGTTTTATTCTATGGAATTATAGGTTTTATTTGCGACGGTTATTTTACAATTTTTTAAAGAAGCTTTTTAAATTTTTGTGCTAAAAAAATATTTTTAAAATAGTAATAAAGTCATCCCAAGCAAATTCATAGTATAATGAGAGCTTCTTCTCAATTATATTTGCTTATTTTTTGTGTTGAATTTAGAATTGTTTAATTTATCTTATTCTTCAATATAGTTTTCTTATTGTTTCTTAAAATAATTTTTTAAAAAAAATTAAAAATTGTGTATTTAAAAGTTGCTTTAAGAAGCAATAAGAAAGTCATTTCAAACGAAACCTAACTTCAAAAGCCGGTGACTCTCCGTATTAATTCATCTTATTCAATTTGTTTAGCATGTAAACTTACGAATAATATTTATAGATTGTGAATATTTTTTATTGACGAGGGAGAGGAAAATTATTGAAGGCAATTATTTTGTGAGAAGTTATAGATAATGAATATTTGCATTCCCACATGCACGCTAAAATTCTTCCAAGTTAACGTACGTTATTTGGTCCGGTCACAGGACGTAGCTCTACGTTCGGCCGCCAATAGAATCGCGCCACGCGTTCTCACTATTTACCGCGCGACTCGACAGCCCGACCCAGAACGGACCCAGGATGGCTCGGTATTTCCAGATTTTGCTAGTTATTGGTCGATTTTGATCGGCAATAACCAATACCGAGCAATATCGAGCAAATACCGAGTAATACCGAGAAATATCGAGTTGTACCGAGTTTTTCTAGGTACAACTCGGTATTTCTAGCAAATACCGAGTTTTTCTAGCAAATACCTAGTTTTTATAGAAAAACTCGGCTAGAAAAAACTCGGTACAACTCGGCATTGCTCAGTATTACTCGGTGTTTGTCTTCACAGAGCGGTATTTCTCGTTATTGTCAAGCAATACCAAACAATACCGAGCAATACCGAGCAAATACCGAGTAATACCTCGCAATACGCAAAACATAGCATTCCCGGGTTCCGGTCCGGGTCAAGTCGTTGGGCCGCGCGGTAAAGAGTAAGAGCACGTAGCGACATATTATTGACAGCCGAATGTAGCTCTACGTCTGGTCAGAGGACGTAATAATTGTTCGTCCAAGACAAACAAAAACAAAAATAAAAACTAGCCGTTTGGCCCGTGTCCACACGTGTGATGTCCGTCTTTGGAATCCCCTTGCTTACACGTGCGATGGATAGGCAAGGCTACACGCTGGTAATTGCTTAAACAAAAGTTTAATATGTATTAGGGACTGTAAAAGTAGGAGTTAGATAGAGATAGAGAGAGAGAGTGAAAGCCTAAAAGGGTTGCTTATAGTGAGCGTCTTTATCAGCATGCTAAATGCAACCTTTTATCACAATAAATGTGCTAAAGTTTGCTCCCAACTCTCGTTTTAGTCCCTTTTAACTCTTTTATTTATAGCAAAGCCTCAAAGGCTTAGCTGCTTATTTACCTTTGTACAACCACTAGACCTTTTGATTTTCATAATTTTTTAAATTATTCTGCCTTAAAGTTGAATTTTTATAACAAATTTACATTTTCTTTTTAGAAGTGGACAAAAAATGTTATTATGTAATTTTAATTTGTAATTAATTTAAAATTTTAAATTATATGGTGATATTAAAATATAATTTTTAATAAATTGATATTTTTGCATGAATCATTCATCTAGCATTTATTGTATATATACATTAGGGGTGTTGAGAAATAGGATATTTGCGGCGGTAAAGAATAATTTTTTTTTGTCTTAGTAATGTATAGATATCCAATACACAAACAAAAAGAGAGAAGTAAAACACTGAATCTTTTTTGATGGAAAGCCCAAAGAGGGAAAACCACGGGGCCTCGCTCAGGTGAAAGATTCCACTAAATTTGAGTGAATTACAAATATTGACCCGTCCCTTGACTTAGGAGCGATCAAATTACAGTAGTTTGGAGAGTTAGGCGAAGGTCTATCGACTGTCGGATGAAAGTCTGACGGCTTTAGATTGCTAGGTGGAATTTCGGAGGCTGTCGGCGGTGATCCGACGAAGGTCGGGCTGATGTCCGAAGGTGATTGGCGGCCGGGTGGAAGTCCGACGACGGTCGGTGGCCAGGCGGTGGTCCGACGATAGTCAGGCTAAAGTCTGACGAAGGTCGGCGGCCAGGCGATGGTCCGACAATGGTCAGGGTGAAGTCCGGGGGCGGTCGGCTACCAGGCTGTGGTCCGACGGTGGTCGAGCTGAAGTCCGATGGCGATCGGTGGCATGACAGTGGTCAGACGGTGGTCGGGCTGAAGCCCGATGGTGCTCGGTGGCCGGGTGGTGGTGTTAGAGCTCTTGAAGCTTCAGAGCTCTCTCCAATATCTAGCAAAAGGTCCCCTTCATGTAGGAAGTTGGGGTCTATTTATAGATTTATTGAGTGGCATAACTTGTAAATAAGTGAAATATCAAGGGTAAATTAGGAGTTATTCGGATGGATAGCCGATCTTGATTCCTACGATCATGCACCGTTAAATGGATCTTTGACTGTTTTAATGATATCAGAATTTGATGATCTTTGGCTTGTTGGATTCATCTCGTCGAGCCGCTCGATTCGACTATAAGCATTTCACGATTGAAGACCATTTGGTAACCCAAATTGTACCAAATGGTTATTTGATCCTTTCAAAAGTGCTTCGAGTATTTGATTTGGACTCATTTGGATTCGGATTGGGTCGATTTTAGTGTCATTGAGTTCTTGTTTCCGAGATGCTCAGTTTGACTGTAAGTTTGCAAGAATCAGAGTTCGGATGGTCTCAATTTTAATTTTTGAAGCTTCCAACTTGATTTTGCCTCAAGATTTGTGCCTGGTCAAGATAATTTTTTGATGATGTATCAAGGGGTAAAATAATTTTCAATAAAAAAATGTAAATTATCGGTAATGAATAGCCGTTTGATATTTCAGCAATAATAAAATTTTAACTATTCAATAAAAGACTAATATAATACTCCTAATCCTAAAATAACTTAATATCATAATATTAATATGGTTTTCAATAATATAATGCATGACTAATTTTATACTATCATTTCATTTAACAAATAATATTTTATGTATAGTAGATAATAATCATTTTTCAGGTATTATTAATGTTGCACAATCTAACTTCTTTGCTAAAAATATTTTTGAGATTTATTTTGTTATCCTTTTTTTACAGAGCGAGTACTCGAATTTGACGTATATGATGTGTGTGTGAATTTTTCTTAATTGACTCAAAATTATATTCCCACTTTAAAATCGGGTCAATCTCGGGTTGTCGGCTCAAAATCGGGTCACTTTCGGGTCAAAGGGTTAACCCGAACCGACCCGATTTTTGAAACGGGTCGAAATGCTGAACCCGAACCCGACCCGTTTCGGGTTCGGGTTGACCCTAACCCGAAATTTTTGGGTCGGGTTTTCGGGCCGTGTCAAATATTGACACCCCTAAATATCATACATAAGAAGAATAAGACTTTTTGTTTGGGCAGCTTTTTAATTGCTTTGAAAAGTAATTTTTTAGTTTAAAAAAATTTTAAATTAAATTTTTTTCTACTAAAAAGTTCCTTAAAAAAACAATAAAAAAACTGTTACAATCAAAGCCTCACATAAAAATAAAAAAAAGTGCTCAAAATTAGCGTTGCAGGCTTGCAGCAATAGCGAAGCGAAGCAATACGACAGTAGAAAAAGAAATTAAGTGCAACTAAGATCGTTCATCTCACGCAACTAATATTGATATGTTGGTTGAAAATTTTAACCAACAAGTAAAAGATTTTAGGTTTTAGTCTTTTATATATATAATGTTTGTATGACTTTATCTGAATTAGTCTTGGCTGTGTTTTTCATCCCCAGAAGGATATGATTCAGTGCTGTCAAATAAATGAATGACTGAAATGGGAATCAAATTGTATTGTATTTTATAATTATAAACCGAAATCCAATTCCTTGAACCATTGAACATGAAATCAAATTGAACCGGATTGAACGAATCGGTTCACTTTCAATTTAAATTTTTATTTTTCAAAAAAAAAAAATGCCATCATATATTTAATATTTCTATATTCGATATATGAATAATAAATAAGAGATAATTACTCTCTATAAATCAAAGTATTTTACTTCTTTTAAAATATATAAGCGGCAAAATCAGTTTTTTTTATATAGAATGGACAAAATAAGATCGAGATGCATATAATATTTTCAGTGAAATAGAAAAAATATATATTTTTTCAGCAAATATATTTATTGAGATGTCAGATAATTAAAATAGACATTCTATATAATAAATTTGATAAAAATTTTAAATCTCAATTAAATAGAATAGAAAACAATTGATTTTAAAATGGGAATATAATTTTCTGATTTTTTTATGAGAATTTTGAGTCATTTAAAAAAAATTCACTCACACATCATATACGTAAATTTTGAATCTAAAATCTCTTAATTGATAATTAAAACCTCCAACCAACACATCTAAACTGAGCTGCTTGATTCTAAATTTTTTTGTCCAAATCTATTTGGAATGACCCTCTCTTTCCCGATTAATTATTCTATGCGGACACTGAATGCCATTTGGAGACCAACCAAAATATGCTGCATCACTCCTTGCTCGGTACCGCGGCTCAGTACTGCTCGGTACCGCTCGGTAGATACTGCTAACGTGACACATTCTGATTGATCTCCGAACAGCATTCTGCATCCGATCTCCGCACAGAATAATTTCTCCTTCTCTGTGGCCCTTAGTTTCTTCTCTTCACTGCTGACAATGCATGCGGCCCCATCAGGGTTGTGCAAAAGCAAAAGAAACAAGGCGACATCTTCCCACAAGGATCACAGTACTGCTGGAGTTTGAGTGCAGAATCTAATTGCTTTTGCTTTACAAAGGTCAGCCTCCATACACTTTGACATGCATCAATGTGTCAATTTTCTAATCTCTCTCTCTCTCTGTATCTATTATATTTATTCGTTTTCTAAATTTATATATTTAGCTGTAAGATAAATGCTCTGTATTTCATACAGTTAACAGTGCAAAGAACCACATATGCCATACTATCTTGGTACTTCTTAGATGATTTCAGCAAATTTACGGTTGAATTGAACCAAATGATATAAAAAAAAACTCCGATCTAAATCCAAATGAGTTCTAATTAAGCACTTGAAATATTGTTTGAAATATTGAACCGGGCCAGTCTGATTGGGTTTTAAATTTGAGTTTAGAGTGCAAGCCTTCCAGGATTTCCAGTGTAAACCGCAAGCCTCTTCTTCACCTCGGTTGCGCAAATACACGAAGCATACATAAAATAAAAAGGACAAAGTAGAAGGGAAAGAAGTATTTTAGGAGAGAAAAGACTCTTTATTTCTCTTTTATTTTTGATTCCGCTGTTCATTGTCAGCGGGTGCTCACATGCCTTGCAGCCCCAGCGCCTAAAGCTACCTTCTCCCCTAGCTCTGCCTCTTTCTCTCTCTCTCTCTCTTCCCCCCCGAGCTCTCAACTTTGCTTTGGGCGTTGGATCTTCACTTCTATATTGCTTTTTTCTAAACCCCCACAAGCGCACATTCGCATTTCCCCACCGCTCTCTGTCAACGCAAACAAAAAGAGCTCCTCACGAAGTTTCCTCCCCAAGTCCCCCTGCACTGTTCTTCTTCTCTCCGCCATTACAAAAGGAGAAAGAAGCCATCTTTGATTACCCTGCGTCCTGCTTCCCTCGGTGAACACGCCTCTCAAGAAGGTCATTTCCATTTCTTATTTCCTTTCTTCCCTCTTCTTTTGTGTAGTTTATTCGGCCACTTGATAGTGCTTCGCAAGTGGGGTTATGTCCAACGTTTGGATTTCAGCGGTTTGAGTTACTTTCGGTGGTAATTCGTGATTCTATAATCTGGTTAGAAACGATTAAAAAAACGAAGTAATTTTTCTGTTCGGTCCTTTTCCTCCTTGGATGCTTGGAAATATAGCTACTTGTTACACTTCTGTCTCAAAGATGGAACTTTTGCCTCCATTTTTGTCAGATGAAGATTTATTTCGTTTAATTTGCGCCTTTTTATTTCAATTTTTCATTTGAAGAGTTAAAATTCGCCTCTTTTGCACGGCGCTCAAGCTTTAATGCTTTCCTTGCCTTCAGTTTTTAGATATGACTTGCTGCTCCTATTATATTTCTATGTTTATCTGAAGTGCTTGTTTTGCATGTTGTATTTGTCTCTTTCTTTCTGAAGATCTAAAGATGGCTTCCTAGTTTTATGTGGTCGTTCTTGTTTGCTACTTTTTTTTCTTTTACATCAATACCATATAGAAGTTTTTCGCTTTAGATCACGATTCACGAAGGAGTTTGAGTGAAGTTTCATGCAGTAACTGTTTCAATAGGGAGAAAAGATTTGCTTTTAGGCATCATAAGTAATTTGTTATGAACAACAATGAAATTGTCCACTATTGATCATATTAAGATATTGCTGCATCATTCTCTAGATGAAGAAGAACGTGAACCTAACTGAAGGAAAGACCAGAAAAAGAAAAGCATCAGATGAAGCTCAAACTTTCCCCCATCTTACCTTGGATGAACTAAACGATGACCTCCTTGAGAAGATACTTTCATGTCTCCCAGCTTCAAGTTTCTTCCGTCTTCGTTCAGTGTGCAAAAGATGGAGCTCAGTTGCGGCCTCTACAACGTTTCGGATTGCCTGCTCGCAGATTCCTTTCAGAGATCCCTGGTTCCTCATGGTTGATCAGGATCTTGACCACTCTATCATCCTAGACATCAGTGAAAGAAATTGGAAGAATCTCAATAAGCCAAGGTGCGTCAACCAAAGCAACCAAGCTAGTTGGATTGCCGTTGCATCCTCTGGCGGTTTGGTCTGCTTTCGCAGCTCCACAGGGGAATTAATGGCATGTAATCCACTCACTGGTGCATGCCGAGAAGTCCCCCCTGCTCACGAGACACAGCCCCTCCTTGCAATTGCCATGAGCTCATCTCACAAGAATTCATCTTCATACAGAATTGTGCTTGTTGCAGGGGAACTCCCCAACTTATGCTACAGAGTTTTTGACTCCGAGAAAAACAAGTGGGAGGGTGAGGTATCGTTATATAGGAAGGCTGAAAGTTCACCAGAAACCGAGTTCGCAGGTGGTGATACAGTATACTTCCTCAACAAATCTGGTGACGTTGTAGCTACAAACATGCAAAGGAACCCATCTAGGCAATTCTTAGCTGTTATGAGCATCAAAGATGGCGAGGAGATTGCCTATTTTCTTAGCCATTCGGGCTCGGTTGTAGCTTGCAACATCACTAGGAGGACCTTCCATGAGTACCCCAGGCTGCTACCTGTCTGCTATGAGTACTCCATTGATGTTGTTATTTGCAATAAGGAAATGGCGGTGGTGGTGCTGTCGGAGTTCTTTGAGACAGCCAGTCTCCGGTTATGGAGATTCTCAGAGGTGGAGAGAGCATGGAAACAGGTTGCTGCCATGCCTCCGGCGATGTCGCATGAACTATATGGGAAGAAAGCTGACATCAACTGTGTTGGCTGTGGGAATATGATCTTTGTATGTATAAACTCCAATGATTTCAGCAGATATGTGATCTATAATGTGGTGACTAATGAATGGTTAGAGCTGCCTAAATGCATTGTGGATGGGAAGGCTAAGGATTTCATGTCTGTCTTCTCTTTTGAGCCAAGGTTGGAGGCTTTTGTATGAGTAAGAAATTGTTTTCATTTATTTATTTGATAAGTAATGCTTGTTTTGCAGTTCATGATTTCTGTGTGATTTGGATCATTTTATGATCTCTTCCTATGCAGTCTTTAAGAGCATAGAAAGAGCTTAATGAGTATAATATCTTTAGAACTTTAGATGGTTTAAAACACACTCTAGCAAAAGTGAGCACTTGCTTTGGAGCCCTGAGGCAGCAAGGATTCCACTAGGAAGATGTAGCAATTTAAAAGTCTTAAGCAGAATCTATATTTGAATTTGTCTGTAAGTGGGGGCTTCTTAGTTGAGGAGTGACTGGATTCCATTAAAAAGTTGTTCTTAAGCATTCATTTGATAATGTTATAATAGAAGCTGATATACTCGGTTGATATGGAAGCTTGCTTCTAGATGGATGAATATATATTTATCAGTATATTTGTCCTAATTTGATGGTAGGTTTGAGACAATTTTCTTATTGTTTTGTTTTTCAGATCATAACTATAATTTCTTATTGGCTATTGCTTTTTCTTTTCTTTCAGTGTTAGGAAATTGCTTTTATAGCAGCTTTTAAAAATGTTTCTTTGTCAATAATAACTTTATAATTGTCTTTATAAAAAATTGTAACCGTCTCAAACAAATCCTAGTCTTCAATGCTTCACTTGTTCTTATATCAATCATTACTTTTGATAATGGCCTATATCTAGTGGATTTGAAAGTTTACAACAATCTAAGAGGATGTGGTGAATTTAGGAGCTGAGCTTAAGTCGCTATAGGCTAAAGCTTGAATTTGATTAATTAATCGAGCTCAAGCTTTATTTTATGAGTTTGAGCCGACTCAAGAATGAGCTTGTTTATTTTGAAAGAGAATATGTTTTATGATTCAAGCAATTATTATGATAAGATGGTAAAAAGAAAGAGAAATTAGAAGAAAAATAATGAAGAATCAGTCAATATAAGAAAGTCAAATATAATTTATTAATATTTTTGTTACTTTATATTTAAATATTTTTATTTCTTTGTATTTAAATCCTTGAATAATAATCCCTCAATGTAAAAAAGTAATGCACTGTAAAAGAAATACTTTGGAGTTGCTTGGATTTGGAGTTGCTTGGATGAATGTAAAATAAATGCATGATTTTTTTTTTATTTGAAGTAAAGTGAATGCAATGTAAAGTGCAAGAAGGTTGTGGCGGGGGGGGGGGTGGGGGGGGGGAGGGGGGCAATGGTCATTAGTGGTGGTTGTGATGGCTGGCAGTGGTGGCGGTGGCGGATATCAGCGATAGCTGAAGGTGGAGGAGGTGGTGGCAATGACGATGTGTTTGGAGTGTATTTGGAAATCGTCCAAATCGGAGGAATTCTAAATACACCCCAACATAACTACTTGGGTTATTCCAAACACTCTCCTTTTAAACCAAACTTTTACTTTGCTTCAAACCAAACACTGAAATATTCAAAACCCCTGCATTTTGATTACTTTACACTCTAAATGCAACAAACCAAACAGCCCATTAAGTGAATTTTATATTCATATTCTTTAAAAGAGCTGGCTCACATGCCAATGAGTCAAGTCTAAGCTAGTTCAAACTTGGCTCGTTAGCTCATCAAGCTCTAGCTATTTATCGAGTTGGACTCAAGCTAGCTCATGAGTCAGCTTAACTCACACTCCTAGGTGAGTTGATAAATTAAAATTTGATTCTATAAATAGAAATATGTTTATAATAATATTTATCCTTCAACAATAAAGTCAGAACATCCAAAAATTTATCATATCAATATAATTTATCTATTAATAGATTGAAATTTAAATATTGTTATAATTTCTCGAAGTGATATAAACCATTAACAAATCAAATAAATGAATTTAAGATCTTAATAACCTTCATAAGATATTAGAAGCATTTGTTTAAAAAACTCTCCATTTAATGATGAAAATTAATAATAATAAAATTATAAAAATATCATTGCTGCGAGCCGGAATATTCAGGGCGGTAGAGAGACATTGAGTTTAATGTTCTTGCTTTGTAAGAAGATCAAACACACATATAGAGAGAATACAAAGAATCTATTTTTCCTTATTTCTTGTTGCACTTTATATTTCTTGGAGAGAAAGGAATGATAAAAGATTTGCGGGTAATATTAAATGTGATGCAACTGTAGATCGGCTTGCTCTTCTTGCTAAAATTACCTTATGGAAATCTTATCATGATATTAAGAATCTGATTCTATGATATTCTTTGTTGTGAGGCATTTGGGTTGGCATTGGTCAAATGTTTTTTCAAGAGTTTGATTATTTTTCTAAGCAATTTGGCTTAGGTTTTTATTCATGATCGATGTTTTGTTTGCTCTACTGAACTCTACTGTATCTAAGAAATTTTATGTCTCTCTGTAATCTGGAGCTTTGTGTAGCCTTGGAAGTTGATATTCTCATGTTCTTATAAATTGTTTATAGCTGAAGTTTTTTGGACACTTTTTCATGGGAATATTTGTGTTGGCTTTCCTCTGCTGGTGGGATTTCGATTGAAGCTCCTGCAGTTTCTGTTCAATTGCTTGGGATTGTTCTCAAAAGTTAGTTTTTTGTTTTTATTTTGAGCTTCCTTGCTTAGATTTTGTTTACATGAATTGTAAGTTTTTTCATATTTTTCTAACTTTTTTTTGAATTCTTTCATATATAAATTTTCATTGTTTTAATAGAAATTGAGCATGAAAACACATTGAGAAATACTCTTCTACTTGATTCAATATATTTGAAATATGACTCGCTATTAAATAAGCAAACATTGAGAAACACGTCATGAATGTTGCCATCATTTTTTATAAAAGGTATTTTTAATATGACTTGGATATTGATTAATGCTATTTGTGACATAACCTCTTATAATTGGTTTGAAATACTTCAAAAATTATTATAGAAACATAGAAATATTGATAGACATGATCGGTGAATATGATTGATATAATTGAGTGGTGAATATAATTGATATGATTGATATACAATAAGGTTGGTGCTGATATGAGTATACAGTGGATGATCGAGAATAATAAATAAATAAATAAACACATGATGTCTCTCTCTCTCGCTCTCTGGGGTGTGCTAAGGCTTCGCCCTAGCCGCCCCTTCCGGTCCTTCCGGCCACTCCTCCGCATTTCGCGCTGGGTGCTTCTCCTCGAGTGGCTCAGGGAAGTTTCTTCTCCTTGTTGTTCTGCTCTTCACGTCGTTTTCATTTTCTTTCTGTTTTTATGGCGCCTCCATATTTTCAGGATCTTGATTTTTTTGTTGGATCGTCCTCTCTTTCGTTTAAGGTTGCTTTTTTTGAATCTTCGCCTTTTTTTGTTGTCTTTCTCGAACTTAATGTTTCTTCTCATAGAGGTTTGCCTGCTCTTTAGATTTCGAAGGCGGAAATCTAGTTATTAGCTGCTCCGTTCAAATTTGCTCTAGTTGGAAAATTCCCTGGCCATCCCTTGATGCAATTAGGAGTTTCTTTTTCAAGCTTAAGCTAAATGGAGATGTTTTTGTCATTGTTCTGAACCAGCATAACGTTTTGATTAAGTTTTTTAACGATTTGGATTATTGTAGAGTCTTTGCTCATAGGTCATATTTTGTGAGTAATTGCTATATGAAATTGATTAAATGGTCACTTACCTTTGATATTGAGATTGAATCGCCAGTTATCCCCAACTGGATTTCCTTCCCTAACCTTCAGCCTCATTTGTTTGCCCCACGTATTCTTCATGGATTAGGCTTGATTTTTGGCAAACCCTTAAAAATGGATAATGCTACCTCCATTGGTTCATGTCCGTCTGTTGCGCGCATTTTAGTTGAACTGGATGTGTCCAAACAGTACCCGGACAAAATTTGGATAGGTCCGGATAGCATTGGGTATGTTTAATTTGTGGTTTTTGAAGAATTTCTTGAATTTTGTGCGCACTGTTTAGCTTTGGGGCATTCGAAAGCTAGTTGTAGGATTCTTCACCATAACCTTGATTCATTTGCCTTGCCTCCTCCTAATTCGTTGGGGGATGGTCACCATGTTGGTACTGATTCTGTTGTAAATGGTTTACCTGAGCCCTCTAATGGCCCTATTATTGTTTCAGTGGCTCCAGCATGTATTATTGGTGCTAATTCTGTTGTGAATAGATTACTCGAGCGCTCTAATATCCCTGTTGTCTCTTGTGTTACTATTTCTCTTGTTTTTCCTTCTTTGGGAGGTTCTCCTCTTGTGGTCACTGAATCGGGTGTTGTCCTGGATTGTGTGGATTCCCCTGGATCTTCTCTGGTTCATGCTCCAGTTGTCAATGTCCCTACTGATTGTGTTGATGATGAATTGGTGGTGTATGGTGGTGTGGATGGGGCAGTTTCCCCTAATTTGGTTCCTCCCATTGTAGCTGTGTCGGGTATCAACTGTTGTGTGAATTTTAATGAAAGTCCTAGTCTTGTGGAAGATGGGGCTCTGACTGTTGGCAAGTATGGTGAACAAGCTATGGTTTTTGATGGGGAGGCAGGTGAGGAGGTGGCACTTGTTGAGGTACCTATTTCGGTTATCTCAAATGCTAATTTGATTGCCCATTCGGTTAGATGACAATGTGATTGGTTGCAGGATGACATGTCGATTGACAGTGGGGATAATTATATCAATATCGAAACGGGCTCGCTTGATAAGTTCATTTCGCAACGTAGACGTAAATCCAAGAAGAGATGATTTTTCTCTTTTTCTGGTTTTTGTTGCTTTGGTTGCCTTGTCTGATTCTTTTAGTTTCGGCATGAACGATGAGAAAGCAGCTCTGCTGCAAGCGTCGTTGATGGCCAGGGTTGGTTGGCAACCTGTGTGGCTCGTTTTGTTGATTTGGCTGCTTCTCGATTTCGATTTTGTTGTCTCCTATGGATGGCCATACCCTGGCAATTCGGTGTTGGTCTTAGTCCGCACATTTATATGCTCCCCATCCAATTATCAGTTTAGATTGCTTCTTGTCTTTTACTTTGTATTTGATTAATGTGGCCATGTGAGTGGTCTTTTATTATATATTTCCCTTTAATTAATACTCAATCCAAATCAAAAAGTCATGGAAGTCAATCAATTTCTATCATTTCTTATTTCTCAATAGAAGAAGCAAAAAATGTCTCCATGTACAATTAAAAGAAATGCAAAATTAGATAGATATCTTCTTGAGAGGAGAAAAAGAATTCTCATTTTTTATGTTTATAAATACATATCAAATTTCTTTGAGACAGAATATCATCAAGTACTTTGAGCTCTAGCTTACTTAAATTCTGCTTGTTTAAATTAGAGCTTTCTATCAAACAGAAGGCAATCATAATTAGAGCCAGTTATTTTACATAAACATTTTTAGGGTGATTGACCTTCAAGTAAATTATACCAATATGATAAAACTGTAAATCCATTAAATTAAAGCGAATAATATCCCGATAGCAAAAGTTTAAACTATTACAACAACTTTTTATAACTACCCCAAACTAATAGAACTAATTATAAAAGCTAACATAATATCATCATATAAATTTCTAAAAGCCGAAAAAAAAAACACACAATTATAAGAAAACTATCCCAAACAGATATTAAGGGGCTATTTGGTAGCATGATTCAAGCCGGATTTGAGGTGGATTTGAGCGAAATCCAGCAAAACGGCCTAAAATGCAAAACTAAATCTCACATCAAATGAAAGCCGCCATAGACGGAAAATTCCGCCTTTTCATGCTAAATCCCGAACTTCCGAATCCTTTTTTTTTTTTTTTTTTGTTTTTACGAAATCCATTAGTTTGAGAGGAAGAATCTGCTCCTTAAATTCGCTCTATAGTCAAACAATCCGTGTTTGTTAAATCAATTAATTTCCTACCTACCATTGGGACTCTTAGTTTTTTTTTTTTTTAGAGTAGAGCCTAAATAGAAAAAAATGTATCATACTTGATTTGTAGGGCTGATTTTATGCGCAAACAATCAATAAATAATGAATGTATCACCCAAAAATGGGAGACCAACTCCTTTTGAATCCGGATAAAGAACATTTAATAAAATTGACTAATGGTGTGAAACATTTTGGAAGGTTTTTTATTATTTTAAAAATATTTTTTTAGTATAAAAGTTTTTAGAATAAAAAAAAAATTTGTATTAAAAAGTTGTTTTAGGATGTCCCAAATGGGAACTTTTATTTGGTCCGGACACCTGACGTAGCTCTACATCCAGACGCCAATAATATGTCGTCACGTGCTCTTACTCTTTACCGGGCTTCGCGACGACCCCAACCCGGTATTGCTATATATTGGCTGATTTGTGCAAACCGGGGTACGTATTGCTAGGTATTGCTCGGTATTGGTCGGCAATAACGAGAAATACCGCTTTCTCAAGTCCAATACCTAGCAATAACGAGCAATACGGAGCAATATCCCGGTTTTGCTAGGTTTTACTCGGCATTGCTAGGTATTGCTCGGTATTGGTCTTGACACAGCGGTATTTCTCGTTATTGCCAAGCGATACCTAGCAATACCGAGCAATACCTAGCAATACACGAACATAGAAATACCGGGTTCCATTCCGGGTATGGTCATCGGGCCGCGCGGTAAAAAGTAAGAGCATGTGCCGACATGTTATTTGCGTCCGGATGTAGAGCTACGTCAGGTGTCTTGACCTAATAATTATTCCCCAAATTGAGGCTTCATTTGGAACGAATTTCTTAATACTTTCAAAAGCAGCTTTTTAGTATAAAAATTGTTGATTTGAAATTATTTTCAAATTCAAATCAGCTTTATTTTGGAAAACTTTGATGTCCAACTAATGTATTAGTTAAGGAGCTGATTTTTTCTCTCTAAATAATTGGTTTGATTGGGGATTTGATTGAGGATCATATTAAGATTTTTTTTTTTCTTATTTTTTTTACCTCAAATCTATAAATAGAGAGGTTTGAGTGATGTTGTATGTAAGAGAGTCAAATTGTAATCCTATTTGTTTCTCCAATATAGCTAAATCATCATGTCATACCCATAGAAGTAGACATTTTCGTGGAACCATGTAAATCGTTGTGTTCTTCGTGTTGTTTGTTATGTGATTTCGTATTTATTATTATTTTTTGTGTTTATTGCACAATAAAAAATTTTAATTTTAAAAAAAAATTATATTAAAGAACTATTCTAAAAAATTTCTAATTCAAAAAATTATATATCACAATTTGTACTCTTCAATTCTCCTAACATATGTTGGAGGACTCTAATTAAGTTTGGTACATCATAAAAAATTTTGCTAATTGGACACAGATATTGTTGCAATGTGTTGGAATTTCCATAGTCAAATTCAGAATCATATGAAATTTAATTTCAGTAAACTTATAGTCAAATAACTTGAAGAGATGAATCCAACAACATTAAAAATGATTGGATTCGAGCCAAAATAAGCCTAAATCAAACCCTTAGATTGCAATTGAAAACTTTGAAGCTTTAATTTAACTGTCAAATAATCTCTAAATATGGCATGCTTATAATCAAAATGAGCATTATGATCAGAGGAACAACACGTCCGCTATCACTCGATTCTAGAGCTTATAAGGCACTTAAATAATGAATAAAAATTCTATGAAAACAACATTCAATATAGATTGATCGGTGGAGTATTTTAGAAATTTGGTTGGATTTATAAAAATGTCTCTCCCAAAATACTATTAAATTAACCACAACTATTCACCTAAAGGGGATCTAGAGCTTAGAACTTAGAGCTAAACTTAGAGTTGGAGTAGGATAGTATTTAAGGGAAGAATACACCATTAAACTAAGGCATCGTTTGGGATGACTTTTTTTCTGCTTCTTAAAGCAGCTTCCTAGTACAAAAATTAAAATTTTTATACTAAAAAATTGTTTTAAAAAACAATAAAAAAGTCGCCCCAAACGAAGCCTAAATCTATTTGAAAACCTCAAAAATAATCCTCCTAAATTAACCACAACTATTCACCCTTAAAATGATTAAGAGTGAAATAAAATACTTAGAAAATCACTATAACTTTGATTTCAATTCAAGACTTACAAAGAAGTTTCTACTCATACTTTATTATCAACCAACATAATATTCAACTCTAACTAGCAATTAAGGCTTCATTTTTTTAGTAGATTTCAAAATTTCAAAACAAAGCACTTAGCTAGAAGAAGTCTTGATATCTATCAATAAACAACCCAAGTTATGTCATGAGCTGTTTATTGAGGGGAGATTTTGATAGCACCGAAGGATCTACGTAGAGCTGGAGGCAAAAATTGCAAGCACAAGCACAATAACAGGGAAGGAGCTGTATGCTCCAGGAACTGTAGTATTGATAAGTGTAGTATGAAAAATTGTCTACAAGTTTTGGTCCTCCTTTTCCTATATGTATTTCTTCTATTAAATTAAAAATGTTATAAAAGAAAACGTAGAAATAAAAACAAACTATTGCATCAGGTACTAAAATAACATGTAAGAGAGTGAGGTAGTGGGAGGCGTATCTGACAGTTAGGGAACCGGTATAGTGTGCTGCCGGTATAGCTTTAGGTACTACATCAGATTTCTTAGTCAAAATGTCAAAAAATCAAAGTGGAACAATTAAGGAGAGCATTTTTACAAATCTTATATAAGCTCTTGAGTCTAATAAATCTACTAAGTCATTAAGAAATCTTTCTTTTCTTTTTATTTAGGATAATCAAAGCTCTCAATCAACAAATCAATAAGAGCTATGTGAAACCGTTCTGTCTTTTTTATCAAGATTTCGTGTATGTTTCTTTTATGTAACAACTCAATCATTTCTCTCATGAACCTAGACAATCACATTTCCTCCACCAACTCTCTATTTCACCAAATAAAGAGGCGAAAAATAATTCTGCAACCACCTGGCCCGCTTATAGCCCTTGTATATTGCTTTCAATCAACATCCATGGCAATAAGTGCAGGCCTTATTTATTAGCCCCACACCTGGATCATCAAGATCTCAAATAAATCCGGATACATAAATGACTAGCCCAAGCTCAGTCCATGATAAGATTTTTCATTTCTCTCGTGAAACACATGCACACATCACATACGTAAACTTCGAAACTAATACTTCTTAGTTGAGAGTCAAAACTCATAACCAACATATCAAGATAAATTGGATGGTGCAAGGTAAGTCAATTTAAAATGTCAAATCCATGTAGGAGGCTCTTAAGAAATTATTCTTTGCAGACGCCGGACGCAGCTCGACGTCCTGATGTCGTGGTACCGAATAGTACCGAGCGGCGGTACCTAGTAGTACCGAGCCGCTGTACAATAAAAGTGTAACGTGACATATTTTTATTGGTCTCCAATTATCGTTCGGCATCTGCACATAATAATTTCTTTAATGTGAAATTAGCATAAGCAGCTTCCGAATTAGTGAACTTTAAAAATTATTATTTTCAATAAAGTTACCAAAACCATGATCAGAACAGAGAAATGAATATAAAAAAAAAAACAGGGGAATTCAATACTGAATAGAATCGAGTTGATGAGAATATATATACAAGCCACACATTTGACTGTCTTCTGAAGTAAAAGCCATCACTTAAAATGGCAGCTTTGGCATCTCCAACGCCTCAATAGAAGAGAAACTCGTCTCCACCATCACAAAGTACTTTAAAATCAGTTTGTTCTTCTCTTACATGAATCGACTGACTGTTTTCTTCAGATCGAATTCACCAATTCTTATAGTTTCAGATTTCTCAATCAAAATTCTAACTTGATAATCTCTCCTCTCATTCTACTTCAATTCTAGCCACCGCAGCTGCTTCCGACGGCGGCAGCCCCTGCTCAACATCCCATCCTCTTGAGCAGCACCCAGAGCTCACTCCTCTGCTTCCCTCATCTACTATCCTCTTCAACGACCTCACACTCGCCAAAGTCGGCGACTTTACCTCCTCCGACGCTGGAATCTCACTCGATTGCAACGAAAAAGAAGAACTTTCTACCGCATTTATCGGTATCTCTACCTCCAATACACCAGGTCTCCTTGAACACCCTTCTCCTGAACAATCTACTTGCAAAGATCTGGTATTTACAGAGCAACTCTGCTCCGCATTGTTTAAAATTACCTTTTTTGGCAATTCAACTGAGCTCCGGCATACAGGGCAGGTGGAATTCGAGCTAAACCACAAATCAATGCACTCGAGATGGAAACCGTGGCGGCAGCCGGGAAGAAACCGGAAGAGCTCTCCTTCAGTTAGCTCGGAGATGCAAACAGCGCACTCAACACCGTTCTTGAAGTCCACAGAGCTGAAGACGGTTACTGGGAGTGACTTAAGAACGGCAGGGTGGAGAGCTCGACGGAACACAGAGGGGCGATTTCCGCCAGCAAAGTGGGTAGAGGAGTTTTCAAGTGTGTGGTCTGCACCGAGATAGAGGCTTGAGCGGAGGTAGAAAATGAGGAAGAGGACAAAGAGCAAGAAGATTACGACGACGGCAGCCACCATGATCGCGCCGGATAGAGTGATGGCGTTGTGATTCATGGCCGGCGCCATTGTCGACATGGTAGTGAACTCGGAAGCTCGAAGAGGTGAGGAAAGGTGATTCCTTTGGTTCAGAAAACTGAGATATATACCCCGACGGCCGTGAAGAAGGAGATGCCGTGGAGGCGAGTTTTTTTTTTTTTTTTTGGAGCGTAATTGCAGGTTTTTATTGGATCATTACTATTTAATATTATTAGTAATTTGCAGTGTAAAATTTAATTTATATTGATTAATACTAAATAAAATATTAACTCTAGTTAGTATTTAAAATAATTAAGGATGAGCTTAACGTATAAATTCGGTTGAAAAAAATTAGAGAAAAAAATTGGATGACTTGCCATTTGCTGTGGGAAAAGAAGCCATTTTTGACCAATTTTGAGTGTGGGATAGGTTGCCTCTAAGGATTTTTCTTCGTATTTTATCATAGGGGGATTAATCTTGAAAAAAATATAAAATAAATGTTAGATATTATTTAAATATTTTTTAAAGTTACTTCTTTTTCTTAAGAACTTTGGCGTATGTTGCCAGGTAAACATGAAGTTAGTGTATTTTGATAAGTTGAAGAGATAAGTTGTGGTGCTTATCCTGCCACAGCTGTTGCAATGATGATCTACAGCCACCTCTTTCTGCCATTGCAGCCTAATGCTTGTACTAAGCTAATCCTAACCGTTGTTGATTAACTGCTTGATCCAACCGTTGGGATCAGTTTACACTTTGTATTTATATATCTCCTGTAGCCACAGGAAGGAGTAGTGAAAGAGAAGCTTTCCTCCTATCTCTCGATGTTGCTCTCTGTTTTCCTTTTATCTTTCTTCCTTGCAGGTCATGTGAAGCCGAAGCATTTCAAGACAATTTCTCATATTTCACTCTGTTTGGCCTTTTTTTCTTAGATAAAACTCTTATAAGAGCCTACATGTTAATTAAAAAGAAAATTATAAGTCCTTAAAAAACTAAAAACTCACTAAAAATAAGACCTTTGAAATAAACATATGAGTCGGTGGTTCTTCGTATTACAAAAATTAAGTAAAAGAAATAGCTAATAAGAAAAACACAAGAAGAGCAAGCCGGTCAAAGGAAGCATCAGACATGAGTACATCCACCTAAAATGAAGCCACACGAACAATCCAAACAACAAACTACATGAATAACATAAAAAAGAAACCTGTAAAAGAAGACAAAAAGCCAACAACACACCATGAAACTAATAGAGCCAACTGCGAGCCACCAAACTCCAAGAAGACAAACAACAGCGCACCAAAACAAATCCAGCTAGCCTAGGCAGAAAATAAAAGAACCTCAACCCCAATAGTCAACAACGAACTAGGCCTAAAATACCCCAAACAATCCGGGAAAAGCACAAAGAGCAAAGAGGTAAACAGACAACAACCCAAGCGAAAGAGAACCCAAAAAGCAAAAAAAGGAAAAAAGATCCAAAAAGACGATTAATTCTTTTTGGATTTCCGCCGTTTACCTTTACCAACTTTTTTAAAATAATCATCCTCAGCAATTTAAATAACATTTAAGTCATAAATTTCCCGATCGTCCACCCCTTGCACATCAATTTCCTCCAAAGCATTACAATTAGCTGAAGAATCACAATCAGCTAACCAGTCACCTTGAACCACCTTATCTTCCTATGATTTGAAAGCTAATTGAGCAAACAAAGCATCATTAGATACAAGAGAAATGGGAACATCTATGAGAGGCACTTCAACATTCATATCCAAAAGATCTTCACCATATAAAACAAGAACATCAGGAGCATCCAAACCAAACCAAACCCAACATCTCTAATCTCAACAGCCATGCCAGAAACTAAAACACCCATAGGGCTGACAGTTTCACATATCCTAGGTTCCAACGGAACAAAATTAACATCATAATCCACAACAACAACAACAATAACACCATCGCCTACATTAGAACTAGGTGACGCAATGGGACTAGCTATAAGGTTAACCATGCAAGTGTTGGCTCCCAAAACCTAGCTCATTTGCACCCTCTCTATTTCTACAAGAAAATGCCACATGCAAAACAACAGTCAACGAAGCAGTGACCTTGTTAGTGTGACCGACAACACCAATACCAACATCCTCCTTATTAACTGTTAAAAAACAATTATCCTCATTAACCACCACAATAGTAATCGACAAAACAAGCATCAAAGTTGCTATATTATCCAAAATTTTCAAAACACCTGTTGTATTCCCATCAGAACTAAAATTAACATTACTAGGATTAGTAGCAATAGTATTAACTGTCACCGATACAGAGGTAGGAATGGGGCGACAATCACCCTTCAAATGAGTGATACATTTACATTGAGCACAAAACTGAGGGAAATCCTCCATCACAACATGTTGAATGTACCAAAAAATTTTAATACCTAGCCACACTCTATCAAGAAATTTTTTTGGTAATGTTAAGCTCAATCAAAACACTCGCTACATAGTGATGAGAGCCAAAAGAAGTAGCATTATCAACTTTTAATGGTTGACCAAACAACAATCCCATACCATGAAGGATACGGGGGGAGAATAGATGTGGCTGCAAGTTAGAGAATGATATCCAAATGAGGATAATCGGAGACTCCACACCAATATCAACTAGGAGGTCATTTGATCAATTTCATGTAGCATTTGCTAACAAAGTAAGATCTATGGCAAAAAAAATCTGCTATAGTCAAGACCATTAACCAACTTAATCAATGCATGTGAATGATCCAACAAAGTAACCAAGAAATCTCCATTTAGCTTGAGATGAAAAAAAAAAAAAACTTCTGAGTAGATTCAAGACTAGGTCGGCGAGAAGGAAAATAGTCAACTAACATAAATTGAAGAGGAGTCGCAAGCAAAAGAATCTCTTCCTTCAATATCCACAGTGAAGGCAATCCATGAAAGGTAAAAGATTTTAGGTCGAGAAAACACACAGCGGAGGAAGTTCCCGATAAAGCATAAAGGAAAGAGCGAGATTTGATCGACCCATCTAAAAAATCAAGAGCGACCAACCGATTCATGGCCATTCCGCTGAGCGGAGGTGGACGAATCGGGAAAAAAATGAAAAATCACAAGCACAAGGGGACAGGAGGAAAATGAAAAATTCCCCAGAAATTAGCACCGGCAAAAGCAGCGACGGCAATCGCAATAGGAAGAGGGCTACAAAAAACCATAGCAGAGCAGAGCGTATTAGGAGAAATTTGACAAAACAGGAGAATCTGACTCAATGAATACTTTGTATGATCATTTATGAATACTTTGTATGACCAAAATGATGACAAATCAAGACCATAGTTTAAGGTTTTTATTTGGGACTGAAAATTTTAAAAAAGGATAATATAATTTGTAGAAGGGGCATGATTAAGAGAATATTTAGGAATAAACCAAGATACAAATATGTTTGGTATGGTTTGTAGACATGATGTGTGAGAGAAAATTGTCAAAAAGTCTGACATTATTCGCATCCAAGAGGGGAAAATATCAAATGTTTGGCGTAATCCTCAGGTAGCGATCCGCGTGCACTCGGGTCAGTCGTGATTGCGAATCCGGTCAGCCAATGTGGATGGTGGCACGAATTAGGCATGAATTAGTGGAAATAATTCAGTGGAGCCAACTGTTTAATTTATGCTTGAGTAGAATGGGAAATTATTGGGTCCAGAGCACATATGTCGCTAGAGCTCAATGAAAATAAGCCACATCACCCCCTATTCGGTACTGAGCTCGATACTTAGCAGTACCTAGCAGTACTAAACTCGGTACTGCTCAGTACGAAGCTGAGTACTGTTCGATATTGCTTGGTTCCAAGTTCAGTACTGCTCGATACTGCTTGGTACGCCGTCCAGAGTCCAATAACACGACAAACCTTTTATTTAAATAAAAATTCTATTGTCCCACCTTCATATGCAAGATATTATCTTTTTTAACAGTTAGTATTCCTTACTTACATGCAAACGCCACATTTATCATATATCATTTGCATCGATCTGTCTTTGATATATAAAATGCAACATGAAATATATGAATACATGGAAATGTTTATACTTTCTAATAGCTTCAAAAGTCACAACTTTCATTTTATCTAGCGAAATTTAGGAATATTATAGCCAATTTATTTGTGAGGATCATATCTATCATATACAAAAAGTTATACGATAAATTAAGAGAAAATAATTTTTAGTATATGTAGGAGAGATAAAATCTTTAAAAATTAAAACTATCAAAAATATGAGTAAGAATATAATCATTTACTTCATTAAAATAAAATTTGTGATATGAAGGGTAGATGAAAATGACCCAAAGCAATATTCTCTCTATCCTCTTCCTCTCCCTTCTCTTCTCCTTTTTTTTTCTTTCTTCTTGACGAAGCAAACAACGTAAGAGTGACGCAAAGAGTGAATGGAAGAGATTTATATTAAAATATATAAAAATTTATTTTAGTGTCTAGCATCTAAGGAACCCGATCAGCATTGTTGTAATGTACGTTGAATCCAGTATTATTGCAGACCAAAACTCTTAGTGACACAACTATATTTCTAGCACCACACAGCTCTCAGTACCGATGCACTCGAAAGTACTACGACACAGCACTCTATGTACATTATCATATTTTTTCATTTTAAAGTATTTTTCAAATTTTTTTGGTATGATTCGTAAATCAGACTTATAATATCTAAAAAATATTTTATATATTGTAGGTCAAAATATGTGTTGCATAATTTAAGAGATCTCTATAGTGAGTCAAACAATTATAAAATTTTTCAAAGATCAAAATAACTTGAAAATATATATTTTAATTGACATTTTAGAATAAGTTGTGTTTATATAATATATTCAATGAGAGTAAACACATGCGAAGGAGGTAAACACACCTATTTTTTTATATGAATAACTTCTTTGATCATAAAAACAATTTCATGAATATATTTATTTATTTAAGCAAAGCATACATTCAGGTATATCTAAATCACTAAAAAATGTTGAATAAGCTATATATTACAATTATCGCGTTTATAAAAAATAGAAGGTTTTACGGAAAATATATTGGCAAATTACGGGAGGTAAACACACCTCTAGGTGATCGTACCTTTGCATTAGGGTTTCCCATAAAAGGGTTCTCAAAGCCACTCCTTTCATTACCTCCTCGCCGCTTTCTGCTGGAATTCTTTGGCTTACTGTTTTCAACTTTATTTCTTTTTCGTTTTTCCTTCGAAGTGAAGAAGGTAAAAAAACTAAGAGCCGAAGATGGAGATCCTTTTTTATTTTTATTTTTTAGGGTGTTAGATGTTTGTTCAAGGCTTTAGGGTTTGCGATTCTCAATGAAGATAAAGAGACCTTAAGATAGGAAGTGCCGTCTGACAATTTAATCAGCAGCAGATCTATCTGTCGAATGTCGGATCATATCTGCTGCTTGTGTGATTATAATTGGGTCTCTGAGAGTTCGATAACCATTTATGGATTGTCTTTTAGTTCTTCCTTTTCTTTAATAATTTTTCATGTCGATTTTTATTCTGCAAATCTAATCAGAGTTAAGCCAATGAGGAATTGCTTATCAAGTTGGAATTACCGGCTGAGGTTGTCAAAACCTAATTCTGATGCGAAACAACCTGGCTTTCTGAGGCTTAGTCATATCCTTGTTAAATCTAGCATTTCGATCTTTAATTAGGTTAGAAAATCGTGTTTCTACTTTTTATTTTTAAATCTAAAGCGCCTGATGCCACATAGCTGGTAGCTATATGCTCTGACCGGTGATGCTATGATCGGGCGTAAAGAAAGCTTCTTCTGCGCTTCGCATGTATATAGGAACCTGTGGATTGGCTTTTTCATCCGTTCACAGAGCCGTTTTGTGCGATTATATTTGTGCTCACGGGTTTCTTTCTTTGAAGCCCTAGCGAAAGTTCATAGATCTTAAATTACAAACATTTGTTTCCGTTGCATTAGCGATTTTTCTTTATGCGTATAACCTGATTGCATTTCCACTGCAACTATAAACTTTTTTTCTTTTCTCGTATTTGTGCTGTGTTTGTTTTCATTTTCCTCGATTCCAGAAATTGCTATAAAATCAATTGATATTTGTCCTAGGATTGAATGAAGAGGCTGCTTGTATTGTGTATCATCGCAGCTGCTGTGCAGAAATCGATAATGAATTGCTCATCTTGTCAAATTTCCATCTCAGATGCCATGATTTAGCAGAAATGCCCCCATATTAAAGATTCAGAGGGATTATAATTAATTAGCCATAAGAGGAGAAAATAAACGAAAGTGACCAAGGCAGCTATCCATTGGAAAAGCTTTGAGAGAAAATCACAGCATGATTATTCAAATTCTTACAAAGATCCAGTTTTTTCTTCAAAGTTTACTTGATTTTAAAGGGTAGATGGATCTTCAAGATTGTCTTAGTTCGGTAGCACTTCTTTCTCTTTAAATATGATAGATGTAGTTGATTGATAGATAAGTTTCAAAGTTAAAACACCTAAAAAGTTTGTGGAATGATCTATTTGTACAAGAGATTGATAAACTATGAATTGAATGTTCATTAGAATCTCAAGATATTAAGATGAATTAGATGATGGAATAAATAATAATATTATAAAAAATTATTAAAATTAATGACGATAGAAAATATAATGAAATAAAAATTTGTAAAATATAAAATTTACATAATTAATCAAAAAATTTATTTTAAAAATTTAATATAAATTATTATTAATTTATAAATAGATAAAATTATTTTTTATAATACATACAACAAACAAGAATAACATCAAGCCTTCCTCTCACTATGTGTTTTTTTCTTGTGTTATGTTAAGAATTGATTTCACATTTAAATTTAATACATCTATTCTTAAGAGTCATCGGAAGATCGTGATTTTATGTGATCAAACCATTTAATCTACGAGTACACCCACTTATCCACCTAAGCATTTTCATCTATACAACATTTAACTAAATATTATGATTCTCTTTTAATGGCCAAAATTTTGTGCCATAAAGCATTGCAGGTCTAATCATCATCGTATAGAATTTTCTCTTTAGTTTGAGTGATACTTTTCTATCACACAACAAGTTTAATGCATTTCTCCACTCCATCCATCCAACTTGAATTCTACTAATAATATATCATCTATTTCACCATCTCTTATTGACTTGATCGGTCAAAGTCGTAAATACCCCATTAAATCTATTACTATTAAAATTATATTCTATGCATTCAATTTTAGATATACTTAAATGAAAAAAATTTAGACTCTAAGGTTCACCTCCATAATTAAAGTTTACCTTCAACTTTCACTTTAGTCTTATCAACAAGAAGAATATTATCAGCAAAAAGCATACACCGGGGAAAATCTTCTTGTAAATCTCTAATAAGAACATCTATGACTAATGTAAAAAAGTTGTGGGCTTAAAGGTTGATCCTTGATGTAATCCAATTGAAATTGAAAAATACTTGGTCAAACCATCTTAAGAGTGTTTGAGCACAAGTAATAGCTCCAGCATATATATCTTTAATAACTTGAATATATACATTATTAATCCCTTTCTTTTTTAGAATTTTCTATAGCACTTCTTTAAGAGCTTTCATTTACAATTTTCTTTGGCCTATTGGTTGAGAGCTTAGGCTTCCAATTAAGAGGTCCAGGGTTCGAGTCTATGTGTATACGTTGTGTGTGTGAGTTTGCTTTAAATGGCATAAATGTTCCAAAAAAAAAAAAGAGCTCTCATTTTTAGTGTATAAATAAATAAATTATTATTATTAACTAATAAATAAATACTATTTACATTATAAATAATTAATTAAAATGTTTATTTAAAAAGAAGTTTTATGGACATTATATCATAAATACTTTACATGAAGTATTTATTGTTTATATAGTTTTTTTAGTTTCTTTATGCTAAAAGCAAGCGAACCAAACGTTCGATGAGCTACTCGTTCTTTGGTTTGATTAAAGCTCATTTGTGATTGTTTAATTAATAAAACAAATAAAATTGAACAATATTTTAAATACTCGATTCTTAAATAAATAAACTTGAACACTAATGTGTTCGGCTCATTTATGTTCGCGAACAACATCATTTGAAGCTCGTGAACAAACTCGACATTAAGCTCGACAAAAGCCTGATTCATATTCGATTTTGAACTTGTGAATAAGCTCGATAAAATTAATTAGTATTTGATTATAGAATATGCAACATGTAAGCTTTATTTAAAAACATATTCATATTGATTAATGTTATTTTTATTTTACATAAACAGTTGTTTTTATTTTATTATAAATGTATTTGTTCATAGATATGTTCATGAACGTGTTTGTTTAAAAGTTTTAAAAAAATTATTAAATATGTTTGCGAACATGCTCGATGTAATCGTTTGTTAGGAAGCTCAATAAAGCTCATTTGTTAAGTTAATGAACATCTAAAAGTAGAGCTCGTTTATAGCTCGTTCATATTTGTTTGTTTAAAGCTCGATAAGCACTAAACGAATTGAACATGAACTGAACATGAACCGAACATGAACACTCATTAATTTAAATGAATCAAACATGAACATAAATAATAAAGCTCGAACAAATATGAACTAAACTTGAACAAGCTGATATTAATGAACACAAACATGAACACTCACATACTCAACTCGGCTCGGTTCGTTTGCAGCCCTAGCTAAGAGCTCACATGAAATAGCAGGGTCATGTGAATATGTTTTATGGTGGTTTGAGGTAAATAAATACAAAAAATTAAATATTTTAAATATAATATAATTTATTTATTTAAGAAAATTATTTAATATTTAATCTTTAATTATAAATTTATGCATTTAATTATTAATAAAATTTGTAATTGAACTGCCTTGTTCAAAAGAATCAGTTTGTCGTATGAACCAGCAGTGAAATAGCAGGGTCATGTGAATATGTTTTATGGTGGTTTGAGGTAAATAAATACAAAAAATTAAATATTTTAAATATAATATAATTTATTTATTTAAGAAAATTATTTAATATTTAATCTTTAATTATAAATTTATGCATTTAATTATTAATAAAATTTGTAATTGAACTGCCTTGTTCAAAAGAATCAGTTTGTCGTATGAACCAGCAGTTCTGATCGGTTCGATATGGTTAGATGCATTAGCGATTTACAGAGTGGATCAGACCAGCCTTGTAACTAGTTCACAATTGAATTGGTTGGCTTGACCAGTCTAATTCGATTTTTAAAACCTTGGTATCAACAATTATTTTGATTTAGGATAGAATTAATAATGAGTTTATAAGTTCCCTACATCTATT